ACAGGGTCTTCATGCCCTTTTTCTTCTTGGGCCCACCTATTTTATTCCTATGCTAACCTTGTGTTTAATGTGTACACAAACAGGCTGCAAGTGTAGTCATAAAACAGAAGCTCTGGCTACAGGTACCCACTCAAGGCCATAACATCCAGGATGAGATTTGGTGGGTGGATGAGAGATGGATTTGGTGGGCAGAGAGTCCTGTGGGGCAAAAGCTCAGAAGGGGCTTCTCCTGGCTAAGCCTGAAGTGTTTTATATAGGTCTACACCAAAGAACAGCACCCTAAGATTGTCAACATGCAGCCTTTTGCGCTTATCTCCACACCTCTTCCAAGCCTCCGTGATGTAGGCTGGGAGTTCGTGTCTTACCTCTTCGTGTTAACAGCAAGGAAACCATAGGTCTGGGTGCTTCTGAGTGCTTCTGTGACTAGGACAGTGAAGGAAAAGGGTGGACTTCTCTGAGCTGAGAAACATAGAAAGTGGTGATGATGCATTGCGGTGTTTTCACACTGATGAGTAGCTAAGCTCCACCACACTGTGCTCACTCCCCCTCCTCAGAGGAACAGAAAGAGAAAATAAGGTGAAAAAAAGGCTCATGGGTTGAGATAAGGACAGGGAGATCACTCACTAGTTAACACCAGCACAGGGAGATTAAAGTAATTTATTGCCTATTAAAAACAGACGGGAGCCATGAGAACTAAAAGCAAACTAAAAACACTTTCCCCCAATACTTCACTTTCCATGGGCCGCAGCCTCCTCCAGGCCACATCCACCGGGGCTCCTCCACAGGCTGCAGCGTGGAGATCTGCTCCATGGGGGACCCATGGGCTGCAGGGGGACAGCCTGCTCCACCAGGGGCCTCTCCCTGCACAGGGGAACTGCTGCTGTGTGCCTGGAGCACCTCCTGCCCTCCTGTTGCAGGACCTTGGGGGCTGCAGGGCTCTTTCTCATTCCTCTCTCCCAGCTGCTGTTGCGCGGTAGTTTTTTTTTCCCTTTCTTAAATCTGCGCTCCCAGAGGCACAACCAACTTCACTTACTGGGTCAGCTCTGGCCAGCAGCAGGTCCTTTTTGGAACCGGCTGGAGCTGGCTCTGATCTGACACGGGGCAGCTGCTGGGCTCTGCTCACAGAAGTCACCCCTGCAGCCCCCCTGCTACCAAACCCTTGCCACGTAAACCCAATACAGCAGGATGGAAAGTGCAGTCCAGCCAAGGCTGAGCTTGGCCATAGGAGCAACCTGACATCATTTCCATTACGTTCTCATCATCATTTCCAAATACAATTCTCTTTTTCTTGGGAGAGAGGAAGCATTAGATGCATACTATTTTCATTTCCCACCTGAAATTTCTCTGTTTTTTTTCTGAAACTGGAGAGATGAGGGGAAAGCTGTTTGCTTGCTTGCATATTTTATTACAGTCTATCTTTATTATTTTCTTCTCCTTTCTTTCTTTCTTTTCCCAAAAGACAATTTCATTTTTCCTGAGGGAAATATCTCTTTCCCTACCCAATTCACTTCCTAACCAGCTCTGTTTGACCTGTATTTTCTGAGGCACTGGTAGGGATTTCAGATGCCCGACTTAGCCTGCCTCAATTGAGGTTCTTTTCCAGAAGACAAATATACAGCATTTCTTGAAAACGGGTTCCTGTGTTCCCTATCTCAAGATGTCCCATATTAATCCTTCCATAATAGAATTAGCCAAAACTCCAGTAACTTCACAAAATGTTGGTCATTATCTTTGCATAGTGAAGACAGCAATCTGAGCTTTGAAACAAACAAAAAAGTCATTCTTTTTTAAGGAAAAAGAAAAAAAAAAAAAAGAAAAAAAAAAAAAAAAGGAAAGAAAGAAAGAAATTGTGAGAGATGCCAGCATATTTATTCCTAAACAAAACTTCTCTAGCACAACCCTGGGCTTCCCAACAAGCAGTTTTGCAAGTGAACTTTATAGTATGACATCAGTGAACAGATGGCAGGCAAAGCTGTTGGCAGGGTGATGAGAAAGCTGGCCATTTATAATGGAAAATGTCCTGATAAAAAGGAATGCGCTTATTTTATTCCACGGTAATGTTTATAAAATTCCTTTCCTGAGGCTTCTTCGAGGATCTTTTCATCATTATTGTATTATTATTAATAATAAAGCATATAAAGGGAAAAATGCACATAGCAAATGACATTTTAAGTGCCCCAGAAAGGTTTTCAGCACGGGTAGGGTTGATTACATTGTGATGATTTGTTACAAGCATTGCAGTTACAATCCACAATGGTGTGGACATTTCTCCCAACAGGGTTAATTGTATAATAATACTCAATAACTGGCAGGCCTTCACCTTTCAAGGGAGGACATTGGAGTGTGAAAGCATGCACTGATGTTGCCAAATTTCTGTACCTTGAGAATCTCTGAATGCTGATGTGCCTCAAATCTTTCAAAGGCAGACTTTCAGCTGGATGCAGCTCAGGGTGGGTCCATTATGTAAGTGGTAGGGAACAAAACTGTTGTTTTATTTGTTTGTTTGGCTGGTTGGTTTTTAAATGGTGCTGTTGAGGAGTAGTTTGGAAAGACAAATCCAGGTGTTGCAAGAACTGTTTGCTAATTTAACTAAAATTCACCCTAACAATATTTTCTGGAAAATTCCAGAGATGAGGCAGGACAAAAAAAAAAAACAAGCAGGAAGATATTCTTCTAATGGCTAAGCACTGGGCATTTTGCACTCGAACAGAACAGGAGGAAGCACAAGGATAAGGTGCCTTTTTCACCAGAGAGGGCTCAAACCCTCATCTCCCTGCAGTGAAGGCAATATCCCAGCAGGATTCATCAGGCCAGACATCCCTCAGGGAGGTAGGTGCAACACAAGTCATCCCTGAACCAGGCAGTGCCAGCATTTCTCAGCTTGGTCCTAATCAGACACGTCCTTGAGCAAATGGAAGACATTAGATGTCAGGAGGTACAATGTCTGTGGTTTTGTTAACCACAGACATCAGGAGGTATGACATCTATGGTTATGGGAAAGCAAACTCTCCTGGGCCCAGGCACTGCAGCAGAATCACCAGCAGCTATCTCCTATCTCCCAGAGGAGATATCCTCCTGGAGGCTATCTCCTAGACATGGCGTTCTTCAGTCTGAGTTACTTTATCTTGGGTGGGACTCCTCAACCCACCGCATTGTGAAGTCACAGCATGGAGAAGGAAGACCTTTCCTCCCACTCTGCATTTTCCCCCTGCTTCCCTTAATTTCATGAGCTTTAAACCAACTATGCCTTGATGAATGTAAAACGTCTTACAAAATGATTCGACTTTGATAGGGCAAGATGAAGACGTGTGGTTTGGATTAGTCCCAGAACATTCCCTTCATACAGAACCCTGCTGAACCAAGACAGGGAAAAAAAAAAAAAAAAAAAAAAAAAAAAAAAAAAAAGTGACGAGACTTAAGATAGTTTAAAAGCAAATAAAACAGAGGAACAATTCATAATAATAATTGAAAGATTATTATCAGATAGTCCTTATCAGCCCTTATCTCCTAGCTGTTTACAAAAGGAGCTTATATCAGCATTGCCATTGTGCCATTGTACAGACAGTAAAACTGAGGTTGAGGGAGGTCAAAGAGTTGACCTCTATTTGCCTAGACAGACAGTGATAGAGCTAGGAAGAAATGCTAACTGTTCAGTCCTTACCTGATGCACTGTATCCATCACAACAAAAATGTGACAAAATGGAATTTGTCCCAGGACAGAAGGTAGAAGGCAAAATGTTTTATATCTTTCAGAATAAAAACACCTGGGTAGCCAGACTGCCTTTCCAATCTATTTAGCAATAAAGGACAGAGGGGGCAGCTTTGATCCCATGGTATCCACTCACGACCAACAGGCAGTGACCTCCTGGTGTGTTACAGCAACATAGCTAAACAAACAGCTTGCTGTTCCAGCACCCCTCAGGGCAGATTCCTTGGTGGGGACAATCTATTTCCAGCATTTCCATATCCGGATCTGGAAGTCATTATATCCACCTATTCCTACGCCGAGCCACCATGAGTATATCTGAAGTCTCTATCTCATCCTGAACATCATGCCAGAGACCAGCTGTGCTGGAGAGAACTTGTTTTCTCATACAGTCCCAGACTAAAACTTCTTAGACACAGAAGACTGGTTAGTCTGGGTTAACCTTGACTGGATGCTGAATTCACAATAAACTCCAGGGCCATGCCTGAAATCCAGCATACCATCTTGCATTACTTCCCATTTCCGAATTTTCTTGGTTCTGGGTGTCCTTAATTTACCTGAAGATACATCAAGAATGTATCTCTTATCTTTTGGGCAAAATCTCAACTCGGAAGGCCACGGGAGCTATAAACTATACCTCAGCAAATTGCCTTAAGCTCTCCAGATCACTGTGGTTTGCTAGCCTGCCTGGTGGACCATTCCTAGCTCTTAAATTAATTTGCAAAATATACTTTTTTTTTTTTTTTTTAAAGTTTCCTTCCATCTGCAGCATATTCTGTTCCATCTTCCCTGTATAGCTCTGTTGCCCTGGAACAATAATTGTAACAACAACAATAAAAACTAACAGCAACAACAGTGTGTTTAATTTCAGGCTCCACTGTGGTCACTTCCCTGCTGAACATAGTAGGGAGACACGGACACAGGCACTGGGTTCCGTCTCTCTCCTGCCGAGGATCCAATATCCTGTCCTCAGCTCATACATTTCAGATCTGCCACTGCTTCTGCCAAGAAAGCTTCATTTTACAGGAGGAGAATGAGAAAAAATAAGAAAGGAAGAAGATGAGAAAGGAAGATTTTTAAAGGGCAGCCAAGATAATTCCTTCTGGATGTTTTGATCTTTTTAAATAACTTTTTTCTTGAAAAAACTATATTCTGGTGGCCCTCTGCAGGAGAGTGCCTACTGGAACAAAATTCCATCACCATGGGAAGGAAGAAGGTGCAAGATAATATTATTCTTTTTTGACTCTAAGGACAAAAGAATTGTTGGATGAGAAAATGCTGCTAGGAACAAGAGGAGATTAATCCTTTTCCAGGTTTATTGCAATGTTATTGTTTTCTCTCAGATACAGGCAGATGTATAGGAGATGACTTCCCACAACAAAAACAGGTTCTGGTGAAACAAATCACAGCTGGATCCAGAAGCAACCACTGAAAATCACTTTCCCAGAAATTTCCTGATGCTTTTATCCCCATTGCTGGGAGTCATGTTGACAATTCAGAGCACTGCAGGGACTTTGTCTCCGTCCTCCACTTGCTCAGATCCACCTCCAAAGATCCCATATCCATGCCTAAAAGCTTCTTTGTGTGTTGTCCAGATCCAATTAGTGGCTCTTTAGCAGCATAGTCCTCTTCTACCTCCTTTTGCTGCAATGGGTGTGAAGCTTTAGTGCTCAGCAAACAAAGTTTACACCATAAATATATGGAAGGCCAACCAAGGCTACAGCTGTCATTTACCTTACTGAAGTGTTTCTAGCCTGTGCCCTCCTTACTTGTATTCATGTTAGGGTGCTACTCTGGTATGCAAAGAGGTAGCTTTGAGGTGCATCATCCTGAGATCCAAATGAAAGTCATAAGGTGTCTTTAATACCAGGGCCTTCACTGAGTAATTCCAGGTTTACACCAGAGCTAATACAAAAATTGTGCCATTTTATTCGTTTCTGTTTCCTGAATTTGACACTGCTTCCAGTTCATGTTCCCTAGTTTGTATCCTACTAAAACTTCAGACTTCTAGGCTCTGTGTTTCAGTATAGCTGTGTTATTTTCTCCACTCTGGTGGGGACATTTCTGTAAAGGTCTGAGTTGGCTTGTTACCATTTTCCTAGGTCTGTTTTGTTTCCAAAGTATATGGTTTCATGCTGCATTTTGGGTTTTGCAAAAATCAAAAAAAAAAGAAAAAGAAAACAAAACAAAAACAAAGGAAAAACTCCTCTTTCATGTTTGGTGGTTCTCTAGAATAGAGGTAGGCCTTATACCCATTTTTCCACCTGAAGTGATTACACTGAGATTTTAGGTCCTAAGGCTGGCCTGGATTTGACCTCCATTGCAATGACAACCTACAAGAAGGATGGAATGAAATACCAGTTACAAAACACCCTGATTTTTTAACTTTTCTGAACAAGGAAAGTGAAGTTCTGTTTAATAAAGGGTGCAGCTGGAATTCTGCAGCAGTCTCCATATCCACAGACTCTCACCCCTAGTTACCAAATAGTTATGTTTAAAAGATCCCTATTGTTATCAATCAAATATCTCAGCTATTTTGAGACTGCATTATTTATTGGCAGAAGATTTAAGAATGTTAAAAATCAAAAATTAATTTCAAATGTCCATCTTTACGGAAGCAGCAGCTAAAGAACTTGTAATCTGAACAACAGCTCCTGAGACTGAAAAAGAAGCAGAACTGTCATTTTGATCACGTTACTGTGACAGCTGAGCCAGTAACCAGAAATTCAGAAATTAGTGTAAAATGATGCCACTCAACTATGAAATTCAACTGTTCTGCTGTTGACATTTTCTTGCCATTTTGATCTGAAAAGAAACAAAATGCCTTTAGTCATTTAGACTGTACTTCAAACAGTCCTATTTTCATTTCAGTGGTGTTGATGCATGTACTTGTAATATTCTCCATGCATGTTTCTTGTCAATAACATTAAGGAAAAAAAAAAACTATTTATAGATTTCCCCTATTAAAAAACATTGCACAAGAAAGAGTTGTTTGGTTAGAATGATAACACAAATGGCTCCACTCTTCAGCTAAGTCTTAGCCCCTAAAATTTTGAAGCCTAACTCTACGAAGTCACACCTAGCAATAATATTATCACCTAACAATATCTTGCTTTGTGCTTCTTAGCATACAGCCAACCCTAGCTGGCAATGTCTGGCATACCCTTATTTAAGCAGAGCATAGGAACAGCTCAGAGATGCTTAAGTCCCCAAGATTCAGGCCAGATGAAAGGTTCTGATATGAGATTGTTCTAGCCTTAGGAACCCACATAACACAGACATTGAGTTTGGAAAGCATTCGCATACCTTGCATAGTAGATTAACTTCTTGTCTCTTTCAACAGGAATCTCCATACTATTGTGTAATTCCTAGGCTAGGTGAGCAGGCTGTACACCAGAACTTTATATGGACAGTTTTTGACCGCTGGCCCAGACTGTGTTATTTGTAGATGTGTATTCAGAAGCCTATCAACAAGATTTAGTGTGAGATCTGGTGCTCTGCCTTATTGGAGCATACAGTGGATCACCCATCAAATCAAACAAAAAGTAATTTCTTTTGCAGTTTGTGGAGTGTAGAAAAACTATTATCATTTTCCTAACAGCAGTTGTCTCCTTCTGCATTGAAAAACACAAGGATTCAAGGCGAGACTGGAAAATTTCTTAGTGCAAATAAAAGCATCACATCTCACTTCCCATAATTTTCCTTCAACTGCTTCTCCTTAGAACTAATTTGTTTTCCCCAACTCCAGTGGTAAGATGACTTCATTAGACTTGCATTTAGGCCTTGCATGATTCACCAAGGTGTTCTTCATATGTCCACACTGAAGAAGAGAAAGATCCCTGCTTCTCCACGAAGTGCATTTTTGCCCTCTTCCACCAAATTAGTGCTAGCAGAAAGGTAAAGGCAGTAACATACTTGGCCATGCTATTCTGTGATGAGTGTTTCTAAACCCTTCTTAGAGGGTTTTCCTCCTTAACTACAGCACAGCTCATTCCAGCACTAGAAAGTTCACTTGGATGAAATGAAGACAGGACCCTTTTCAATCCTAACACAGCAATTTTACTAGCAGAGCCAATCCAGACAGCATTTTATGTAGTCTATGAGTTCTTAGTAGGTTTTAGGAAATCAGACCCCAAAAGGCAAATGCACCACTAAAGAGCGAAATCCAGCTGGCAGTGAAATCCAGAAAGGTCCTAAGTCTCATGAACCCTCCCAGCAGGATTCTTCATCCCAGCTGGATGCTCTAGATCCTACCTCTCTACCCAATGTTCCTTTTCTACTTTCTGCATTCTATCTATAATAATAGCTTCAAGTAACACAGCCTTCATTTGCAAGGGGGATTCTTCTTTCCATATTTTCTTCTATAATTTCATAATTCCCAATTTTATACTAGATTCTACAATAAGTGGGGTAATGCCTTTATTGAAGACCACCAGGTCTGAGATACCTGTCACTTCCAAACAAGTTTCATCCCCACATACGCCTTTCTAGAATATTAGCATAACAAAGCAGAGATTGGCAATTTGGGAACCACAAAAGAAAGGTTTGCAAAGGAATAGCAAGTGTAAGACCTTCACTTCATATCATTTCCTATTATCAGTTCGTAAGGTAAAGCTTGGCCAAAATCCAGTCTTTTCCCCTTTAAATGAATAGGAATAAAATGGGTAGTCTGTTCCATTGTTCTTGCTAATACTTCAAGTGTTCCTCCATCCCTCAAACAGCTTTGATGTCATCTAGCTCCACTTGAAGGGGAAAGAATGTGTGATTGGGAATAATTAACAAGCTAAAAATGACTTTGTCAGAACATTTGTGTTATTGAATTACTTGCAGCTACCAGTTTTAAAGAGCTAAGGCAGTGGTTGGGCACAAATAGAGCCCTTTAAAGGAGAAAAAAAGACTTTTTGTAACACATGAATTTGCACTTAAGATGTACAGGTTAATCTCCTCATTCTGCCTTAAAATTCTCATGTAACCTCTGGCACATCACTTAGTCCACCTACACTTCAGCCCCTCACAAATGATCCCCAGCTCCACCCCCAGCCTCATGACTCGTCTCATTATAGCATAAGCAAATATTAACATTACAACAGAGCCATCTCTTATCCTGCATTCCTACCTCACCCAGCATAAAAGAGTCCTGGATTTTGTCAGTGCCTCTGGGAACTACTTTAATAGAAATAATATTCAAGTCAGAAATCTCCCCCCCCCCCATGCAGAGCATTGTTATTTTGAGGAGATGCAATAATAAAACTGCCAGCCTTTATAACAAGGACTGTGAGCAATCAATGCAAAAAAAAAAAAAGTCAGCCAACATATGGCTCTTTCTTCTGCCACTACAAAGCAGAAATAAAGACATTTCTGTTGTCCCTCTACAACTGATTTAGTAACCCAGATAGCTTAGTCTCCTGTTTCATAGGGAAAATCAGCACATGTTATATAGAAGACTGCTTTTAAACTATCCTTTGGTACCAAATAACAGAAGAGAAAAAGTTCTGGCCTTAATAAATTGCATTTCATGCCTGGATTTCCAAGCATTTAAGCTATCTCACCCCTGCAACTAAGATAGCTGTTCCATCAGCTGTGCCAGGATCAAGCCTGAGGCTCTTGTAGATTTAACCTCTTCAAGCCACAGTGAGGAATTTAAGATTAGATTTAGATACCCAGTTTACCCTCAGCTCTACATTAGGTTTATGCTCCACAGTATTAACCTAGATATTCTGTACCTGAGCAGCTTTACAGAGGATAGCCATATATAAGGTCAGGCATACCCCATATGAATTTAGGCTTGATAGTAAAAGAATAGACTCTAAGAGAGGAAAGAGAAAAAAAATCATAGCTTATTGCACAGCCCTTTGTCTAGTAGCACAAGACTCTAGGGCCCCCATTTTCTTTTCAACCCCTAAAAGCTCCCCACCCCCCTACCTCATCCCTTTTAAATCAAAGCTGGACCTGGTAACATCTGTAGATCATTAATGTTATCTTCAGTGTCTGTGGCTCATTGCTCTTATATAAACCCTCAGCTTAGGCTGGTTTGCAGCTTATGGGATGCTTTACTAAGGAAAAAGATTGGGAGCACTTGGGGGAGGGGAAAGGAAGAAATGGAAGTGCTTCACTTGGGGAAAAGGTAGGAAGAATATTTTTCCTTTCTGCAGAGCTGTAGCTAGAGGTCTGCTGTAGCAAAATGGTGGCTCTCTGTGAGAACAGGAAAAAAAAATGTCCTAAAAGTCTAAAGTCTTCTGTAGGCAAATTTTGTCTCTTATTTTCTGTGCTGCTGCTCTAGCATCTATGTTGTATGAATTTGAAGGAGGTCACGGAAATATCAGGTTATCAATAAGAAGGTGTTAATAATGAGAATACTGTTTCAGACTAGTTCTTGTTTCTTCTCTAACCTGTTCTATCTTAAGAGATATTTGTGTGTGTGTGTTGATTCACCCTCTGCTGGTTGTGCATCCCTCTGTTTTGAGTTAAGGGGCAGAGCACAAAGTAGAGATGCTATAAAAGTTAAAGCCCATGAGGTGGTAATGAGGAAATTTCTGGGTGCAGTGGGTGAGGGAGGTTAAGCTGCCTCTGACAACTATTGTAACCCAGCCTGTATGCAGGAAATCTTCACTGTCTCGAGCTCTCCAAAGGAAATAGTTGTTTTTCTGAAGTGAGAGGCACCCAAAGCAAGGCATCATGACTCAGCACCCTCACTTCTGTGTCCCTGCAGAGAAGTGTAGAGTCTGAACACAGCTAATGCTACAAAATGAGCTTCCTCTAAGACTGTTAAATCCTTCAGGGAAAACACTTGTGTTATGGTCACCTGTGTTGTATTTATTCTGATGAAAAAATGAAGGAATGTAATGCCTTCCTAAGAAGTTAATCCATTGCCTGTGTCCCTGTGGTCTGCTTCAGAAGCTATGGTTAAAAGCTCTGCCTTTAACCACATCCTCTGTGTGATGTGTGTTCAGTTTGTGCTGCTCTTTGTTTCTTTCTGTTCTGATTGTGGAGAGAATAAAAGGTGAGAGGGGAAGCATTGGGAAGTGTGGCTAAGGAAGGGAAAACACAATGTCTCAGCCAGACCACCCAGTTGTCACCAACTTGGAAGGTGTCATAATGTAAATATGAGATACTGTCACTGTGCAGGCTAAAAAGGCATTGGAAAGTCAACTGGGCGTAGGGAGAAAGCAACCCTGATGGTTAAGTATTAGATGGGATCTGAAAACTTTGAAGGCCAGACATTGTAGCAGAATATATAAACATGAGTTTCTAAATAACATCTGACAAGTGCTGATGTCCCAGTTTGAACCCTTAATGCTAGCTGAGGAAGCAGCACAAGATGTTTGCTATGCACCCCCTGACCAGCATACATGCACCCCCCTCCTGCTGCCTGTGTATGGTTGTTCTCTTTACTTCAGTTTAGATTTCTTCTTTGAACTTTAGTTCTCATTATTTTTGGACTTGTCACTTTGTTTGGAAAGATTTATTTCCACTGTTCCTTCTGTTCTTTCCTTGCCTCTTCTCCTCTGGATGCTTTTTTGGCAAAGGCCATTGCTATTTTTTATGACTTTGTGTACTGTTTCAAAACAGTAAAATGTTTTTGAAGCAAGATGATCCTGTGTTGCTACGTTCATGCAGTAGCTCCTCCACCTCTGCTCCTTTTTAAAGGGTTTGTGCTATAATACCTCTGGTTTTCAGTGGTCATTAAGAAAACAAGTGACTCTGACTAGTAGGACTAAAAAAGCTACTCTTCTGCATGGATACCTTGATGTTATTGAGCTTTTTGACTTGCCTCTATGAGGGCAAGCCAGGTATCTTTCTGATCACATGAAAGCTTTCAGATGCAAGTAAAATGGACTAGTTCTGATACTTCTGTCACAATGTTGAAACTGGCTGAAATTCCCAATGGAGGGGGGGACAGCTGGCCAGTATGATTGCTGAATTGTCATTTCCTTTGGATGCTAGGCCTAAGACCAAAATGTTTGTCCCTGTGTATTTTGGATCATGTACCGTGTCCCACTGACAACTGAACTGATTTTATTTGCAAGTTGGATGCTGATCTAAATCTAATTTTAGTAGCGTAAATCATGCAAGTTTATAAATATATGTACAAATAGATCTGATAGGCTGAAATTGTTTTCCTTTAATATTCTGGGGTGAGGCTTCCCTATGTATGGTCAGCTGGCAGAGATGCACTGTTATGTAAATTTAAGAGCCCCTACAAGCAGTTTTGAAAGCTCTTTAATTTATTCAATACAGTAAATGATAGCTATAGATCTTGGATATCCAGGGTACTTGAAGAAACTGTCCATGGCTACTTGACCAGTATAGCTTGAGTGTTCTATATTGGGTGGTGCACAAAGCCCATGCAGTTCTATGCTATGTATATATTAGTAATTAAAAAAAAAAGCTTTCTGAACATTTGTGCTTCTCAAATATTTTGTTGCCAATTAATTTCTAAAAAGCCTTCCTTGTTTTCTTGACAATCTTTCTTTTTTTTTTTTTTTTTGTGGAACCCTTTCAGGCACTGAGGTAGTAACTCAATGTTAGGCCATGGTAAGGGTTTAAACACCTTTCCAGATAAGGAAGGTGAGATACAAGATTACTTAAATTGGGAAAAGTCATGGGATATGCTTTTCTATGCCAGAGAAGCTTTGAGAAGTTCCACTGTGTTTTGTGTTAGGGATGTTGTACCTGCCAGGAGTACACATTTATACTAAATACAAGAGATCTGTGCCTGGTGAACCCCTTGCTGACTTTGAGCCTCAGTTTTCCCACCACAAGAAGAGCAAGACCTTACTCTGTTTTCTGTAATTTTATGCAATATGCAATTACAATGCCCTTTATTGACACCAGTTCTTCATGCCCCATCTAGTGCTTTAAGCACTTTGCAGGCAGTGTTCTTCCTGTTGACTTGTACATTTATAAGATTTAAAAGGAACTTTGGTGCTCCTTGCCTGGTATCCAAAATACATCTGCTAAATGTCTTCTATGGAGTCCAAATCCAGATCAAAGGGCTATGAAGTGGTGGTGACTTTCAATTTGGCAATAAACACCCTTGTCAATAGACCTAGGTACAGTCTGACCAGTGGACTGGCAGCATACTGGAAATACACAGCTACAGCTTCCCAGAGATGTAGAAATGAAGGATGAATGTGACTCTTAGGGGAGGATTTAAACAACATTGTCCAGGAGAGCAAATCCCTCATCTGGACCTGTACTGGATGTCAGTAAAGGACAGCTGAATGTTAAATACAGAACCAGGAAAGACCTTAGGTCATCATATGCAGTTCTCTGCTGAGAGCATCATTCATGTCTGGGAATTTCCAGCTCTTCCAAACATAACTGCTTCTTGAATCTTTTTTCTTCTGCTAGGTAAGTTTACAAGGGTCTTATTAATCTGTTATTTTAAAGTAACTTTTCCACATTTTCCACCTGACACGCTCCTAGGAGGTGGTTTATCCCGATACTGTTCTCTGAGCAACTGTGTTTCACTTTGGCTGAAATACTTCCTTTCTGCTTGTGATGAATGGCTTCAGTCTAGCACTACGTAAGCCTAACTTCACTTTTAGTAAGCTGTCTCCTGCACCTGCTTCATCATCCTTGAACAGGGATAGCCATAATTGTACACTAGGTGTAATAAGTATACAGGTTAAGAAGGGGAGAGTGTAGACAATTCAGGAAAAAAATGGTGGATTCATCTGCTTTGTGTGGAAGGGGATATCCCAAAATCAGAGCAACTCTGACAACATTTGTAGTGCTGTTGCAATTTGAACCAGACCCACATCTGCAAAAATATTTTCTGCAGCAGCCACTAGAGGGGTAATAAAGATTTTTTTTTTTTTAAATCCAGTCACTGGTAGAATGAATGGATATTGTCAAAAGAATCCCTTATATCCTGTATTAAAAATAAGCATGTCTCACTTCAGCTTCTGCAAGACACAAACTCTCCAATCATTTCCCTTTCCTTTTTGGAGCTCAGAGCAGACTTTTGAGGGCAACAAAAGCCCAAATTCTAGTGAGACCTGTGGAATGCAGCTCACAGTGGGTTTTATACAGAGGGTCTTCAGGCAGCCAGGAATTTCCTCTGAAAAGTGAACAACTCTTCTCTGAAGAAATAAAATAAGCTGAAGGTGGAAGTGTTGGCTTGGAGTGGGCTGTGTTAATGGTCTATAGGGACAAAAGCTGTGAAAGGAGAGGAATTGCTGTCCATCACTGCTGTTAAGGAATTCTCCTGTTACTACTTAGCTGTGGAGTTTGCAGTTCAATCAGGTCAAATCTAAGGGAAGGGTTCTACTCCCTGCACCAGAAAGGACTACCTCTGACTTTGGGAAAATTTGGTGGGGCTCAGACTGAATGCTGTGACTGAAGGTGAACAACTTCAGACAAGGCAGAGGCACCATTTGCTGTGGCACACATTACTGATTGCTGTAATTCATTTTCAAAGGATTCTAACGTGCAATGTAGGGCTATAGAGGAATGTGTCTGGACCAATAATGAGCATCTCCACTGGATGATCTAATGCTTTAGGGCCTAACACCACGACCTCACCCCCACCCCCCTCACTTGAACCAAAACCAGGTTCATGGTGTTGTCCAAGGTTTCTGCTCCAGAGGAGTAACTCTGGTCTTGAAGGCATTCCTTCACTTGTATCTAGTTGTTATGATGTTCAGAGATAACTTACCATACAGATTGTCCTGATCAGTTTGGCTTTCTCCTTTCTATGTATCCCAAAAGGGAGGAAAGGGAGAATTGAGATGGCTCTGTTTGGAACCCGACATCAGTACCAGGTCTTCTAACTGGTATGCACCTCTTGTGTGTTTGCAGCATGGAAGTTGTCATGTTAAAGTACTTAATATGAGCCCCAATTAAACCAATACAGCAGGATAGTGGGCAATTCATAAAATATTTTTAAGTCTGTTATGCATCAAGGATGCTTTGGAGAGACAAAGTTCTCTGGGAAAGCACCTCTTTTTGAGCATCAACCTGTGGGTTACTTTGTACTGTGTTTTGGGCTCTGTAGGTGCTTCCCTGTGTTATCTTCAGCTGCATGTTTGCCCTTCCTACCCAGACAACGTTCAGGCCACTCATCTAGGTACTGTTTTAGATGCCCTGTGTTAGCTCTAATTGGCTGCATGGTGAAGG